TGCGCATATTCGCCTGCGTTCATAGATACGAGCGGTATGGATTTGAAAAAATAAAAATAAAACTTTTTTGAAATACCCCACTCTATGTACTTTCCGTTGAAAATATTTTCATGCAATTTGCAATAAATCAGTGCACTGTGCAACGAAAATATGTTTAATCCGCGTAGTTTAGCTCGTCATCAGTACGATAAAAGTAATTGTTGGTGTTGGTAAAACTGATAACTTGTTGATACTCCTCCATTCTGGGTCCGAATTCATTGTGCAGCCAAGTTGAAGTGCGATTGGAAAGATTAATCTTTTCTGTGCAGTTTAACTGGGGCGCTAACCCAGTTGATTGAAATATGTGATTCAATTGCTAAATATTGAAAGCATATCTCTTGCATTAGGTTATGTGTGACAGGGACTCACTTAGACATTTAGTAGATTGTCCTTTGTCATAGCACATTCTGAACGGCACCCAATACTTAATTTATAAGACGCCTCGTGCCGATTATGTAATTACGAATTCGACCAAGGAGCACAATGTCCTAGAGCTCCTCGGGACTTTTAAGGATGTGAGAGTCAAATGACTTAAACCTAAGATAGCCTAGCGACCGCTGGGCACCTAAGAGGATAGTGCTGAGGTGTTTTCACCTCGTCATCTTCCGGGCAGTTGCGACATATGTATGTGATGCGGTAGTACGCTCAGCTTTACTGAAAGAGTGAAAGCTGTGGCTTTGCAAGTGTGACCGCAACCGGTCCACGGTCCACCCTCAGCCAGAAGGACCTGGTTTTCGCTCAGAGCTCTTTGAGCCGACATGAGACCCATCTATCCAAGAGTGTACCCCAAGTGATCAACGGCACCCCAGCCGCTCTTAATCCGGCGATAACGTCTTACGATTAGTTTTCCTAGCTAATTCGTCAGCCACACAACCCGCAATGTCGCTGTGACCTGGAACCAAAATGAGCCTAATACAGAAATATTATCCAACGCACTCAAGGCCCAGATAGCCGCTTGGATAAATGCTCTCCTCCCTGACTGTCATCGCTCTCCGGAGCATTGACTCTTCCGCCTCCGTAATAAAAGCCACTTCCGCCTGGATTACACTGCAGCATTCCGGAAGCCTGAACTGAGCGCTGATGGAAAGCTCTCGATCAAAGACCCCACCACCAACCCTGCTATCCAGTTTCGATCCATCCGTGAAAAAGTTCACTGCTCCTATCTCCACAAATTCCGCCCAGCCCTCCCTTGAGGGAAAGCGGGCAGAGAAGAAACTCAGATGGGTAATTTCGGTAGCGCAAAAATGTGCGATCAGGGATGTTATCGAAGCCCCAGAGTGCCTAGTCCTTAATTCGGCCAACCAATCAATTTTCCTGAGTCTACTAGCTGTTCGCGTCGCGGAAATATTGCCTGCAACGTCGACAGACACTAGGTCCAGCATTACGTTCAGTGCCAATGTGGGAGTGGTCCGCGGTGGCAAATGTAGCCTTTTGAAGGGAGATCTACCAGACTAGGATGCCATAAAACAAAATTGGCTTGACTATGCCTCGTAGAGCCTATAGACAACTTTGGGCGAAATACCCCATCTCTTACCAATAGCTCCCGTACAGCAGTATAAGGCCACGGATGCCTTTCCTTGCATTTTCCTCGATGTTTAGCCTCCACGAAAACTTCTTTTTATGGATCAAGCCCAAGATCTTGACCTTGTCAAACAGCTATAAGCGCTGACCTCCAAATGAGAGAAGAACAGCGCCGAGTATTTTTTACGTTATAGTGAATAAGACCAGTTCTGTCTTACTGGGATTCACGCAGACGCCACTTTTAGCCGCTCAGTTAGTAAACATGTTAAGATACCATTGGGTCAGTTCAGAAACCATGTCCAGGTATATACCTCTAACCATAAGTGCAACATCGTCTGCGTACACAATTACCCGACAGCCGTGTTTCTCCAGCTCCTCTAGTAGATAATTCACCACTCCGACGCAGACCAGGTGAGAGGACACGTCCCTGCGGGGTTGCCCTATTCAACGTACGATGCAAGCAAGTGTTGCCCCATATAGCCAGAGCAGTTCTGTTACACAGCAGGTTTTGAGTTAGCCGAATGGGACTGACATCAACCCCCACCTTATCCAACGACTTAACTTATTATTAAATGCCCCCTCGATATCGAAGAAGGCTTCTACCGAAAAATACAAGCATGCTGAGCTCTTGATAGGCGATCTCGCGTAATCACGCTCGTAGAAACGTTGAGAGACTGATTGGCCTGAAGTCCTTGGGGCGACTCCTTCCGGCATTCGGGATGAAAGCCACCTTAACAACCCTCCAACCCTTGGGAATATACGCGTATCTTACGCGTTTGGGGTAGATAGGGGCCAGCCAACGGTACGACACCTCCGCAGCTTTTTGCAACTTCACAGGTATGATGCCTTGAGGTCCTTGGAATTTGAAGGGCTGAATGAATATTATCGACCAAGTTAGGCGGCGGTCATCCAGAAGATCAGAAAAAGTAGCGTAGTCTGAACGCATTTCACTTATGGAAATTTTCTCTGAGGAAGGAGTGGAAAGAAAATGAGTATCCAGGAGAAAGCTTAGTGACTCTTCGCTACTTCTAGTCCATTGTACTGCCTCATCCCTCAAGTAATCCACCGGAGCGGAATTCCTAGCGAGTGTAAGCCTAATTCTAGAGGATTCATGTATACGTTTCACAGAAAGTTCTCTAATAACCTCTTTTCGCCTTTCTGATCATGGACTTGTAAATTCGCAATCCAACCTTATAAAGTTCCCAAAACGAAGGTGACTTACTCCTGAGATAATCGTCTGCCTGGCGCCCTTAACGCAGAAAGCTCGGTCGCCCACCTCTGCTTCTCACAAATCTTAGCGATCATGCGATTTCAAGAGCATCTCTGTTCGCAGAGCTGAAAACTTCGACAAGGTCATCTTGCGAATCCGCCGACTGCACAGAGTTTACTTCTGGCGCATCAGGGAGGGACACCGGATCTTGCATTTTAGTTTAATATTTTCTTCTTATGGTAGCCGGTTGTAGCCAATCACAATAGAAACACAAAACAAGGAGAAAATGGAGGAAAAAACAACAAGTAGAGCAAGTACTGCAACACTAGCGGAGCCCCCACTCTTGCTTCACCCCCCTCTTCCTCCTCATTTCCACCATGCACACGCCATGAGCTTCTCATTCTTATTTCGCCTTGCTTTCCTATCTCATTTGCAGTTGGTGCNCCCCCAACGCCAGCGTTGCATTAAATCAACGTGGCGGAAAGATTAACCACAAAAACCCTGGACTCAATACAACTTAAAGAATGAGGGTTCAGCATGGTGGCAAGCAGCAAGAATGTGCCGCAGAAGGGAGGTGGCAACATGTTGAACCAAATGGAAAGACGTAGCAATCGGAGTGCGAGTGTGCGCTGGTAACAATTGCGAGGCAAAACAAAAGTCGCCGGCATGAAAACGAGCAGACGAGCACGTGAGCGAAGGGTTAGTCAGGGGCGTGGTAACCTGACACCAAAACAAAAAACAAAACCAAAAAAAAAAACAATAAATACGGATACAAGGAGGACGAACTATGATTAAAAGTTTGTAGCAAAGCAGAAGTGGCAGCATTTACAATAACAACGACAGCAAGATGGGCGGCAAGAGAAAAGGACTATAGCACATCGTGGCATGCAATCAATGCCTGCCACCTCCGCTGCCCCTTGCAGGCCGACAGGCAAGCACGAAGTAATGAGGCAGTGCCGCAGGCGGTGCAGGGCAGGCATTCATTGTCAGCCGATCACTGTCTTTGAGCATGTGGCATTGCTCGCGCGGGAGGGCGGGCTTGCGGCAGTTTTGTGCACATCCATCGCATTTTCTGATGTTGCAAGTATTGTCCTTGCAGCCGACTACTAGGGCTGCCGCATGCAAATGACAAGCTGCCCTCACTTGCACTTGCCTTTACAGTGGCTGTTGTTGTTGTCGCTGTTGCTGGTGTTCCAAATGTTGCAAGTGACGCGTGCGTTTATGTGGCTATGCTGAAAAGATGCAGAGTATGCCGAACGGGGGTTTGATTCTCGACATGAACTGTTTAATCACTGCGATGGGCTGCGCTGTCGGGTTTTAAGTATTTAAGGTCGACTTTGCGAACTAGTTTCGTTGCGTGAGTGACTATATTGCGGAATGATTTATGCCAGTATTTATTTGCATATATGCTTGAATTTCAATGTACAGTAAATTTTTTCATACAATTCTTGGCTGCTTACGACACATGTACATAAAAGCTCGGAATTAAATGAATGTAAGCGAATCCAAATCCGAAATGCCACCAGTGCGCTTGCAGAATTTGGGGTAATCTTGAGCCTAACCAAATATATGTATCTTGAATGTCGGTCATATTTTAGTGAATAAATAAGATAATAAGCAGCAATTTGTAGCATATTTCAGGTTTGATAATGAAGCCTGTACTTTTCGACGCTTTTTCGTTTATGGCGCCAAAATGTGTGCAATAGTTAGTTGGAGAAATGTACTTACAGGCTAACCTAATACTCGCGGCTTGCGTTTTGGTATACATGCCGTCGCATTTTTATTTTTTATTTTTTTGCGTTACCCGAATNGATAATAAGCAGCAATTTGTAGCATATTTCAGGTTTGATAATGAAGCCTGCACTTTTCGACGCTTTTTCGTTTATGGCGCCAAAATGTGTGCAATAGTTAGTTGGAGAAATGTACTTACAGGCTAACGTAATATTCGCGGTTTGGGGTTTGGTATACACGCCGTCGAATTTTTAAATTTATTTTTTTGCGTTACCCGAAATTGGCTTCCATGCGTTTGCATTTGATTTCATTGAGCGAAACGTCAAATCAAAATGTCACGCAGAACCAAAATTGTAAATTAAGTTAGCTTCATACGCACGCCGTTCGATTTCGGTTGATCTCATATCCAAGTTGTATGTGCATGACAAATTTTTGATAGCAAATTGGCGGCGTGCGTGAATATTAGGTTAGCCTGTTGGTGCATTTTTATTCTACTCACCCGGATCAATGTATTTCAAATTCCGCGCCAAGTGTGTCAATTGCAAGGGTATGTAACGCGTATCGGCACGCGGTGTAATTTTCGGCGCTGGCGGAGATGTGGGCGCCCCTGGTCCCAACGGACATAGAAAAGCGCGCTGCAGCTCCCAGCCTACTTCGGAAATTATGCTGGCTTTCCGGAAATACGGTGTCACTTCACGCAGAAATTTTACTAGAAATATATAGAAGAAGATGATATGAAAATGGAGAGCATTTGAATTAGAGATTCCTGAAAATAACTTAAGACTGAGTTCGATATAGCGAGATTAATAAAATAAAATATGTTAAAAAATCAGCGCATCGGTTTGTTTTTTTCTGCGATTTGTGTCGTGAAAATGGAAAATTACGAAAGGTTACTCATTATTATATTGAGTATTCAAAGTATGCAATGTATGTGGTTGCAATGTTTCCAAACTCTGTATGTACAAACAGTTTAAATACCGCAGTAGAACGGTATCCAAATATTGTATTANAGTATTCAAAGTATGCAATGTATGTGGTTGCAATGTTTCCAAACTCTGTACATACAAACAATTTAAATACCGCAGTAGAACCGTATCCAAATATTGTATTGGTACGTTTTGGAAGTCAGCCATACTTTACGCTAAGAAGTGTACGGTGAATATTGTTTGTTTGCTTGTAATTTGGTACCTTCTAATGTCCACACATATGCATGTATTTCAACTGAAGATCGCAAAACGCCGCAACGGGTTTGTTTTTGGACCAAGTTTGATAAGAAATTAAGACATTTCATTCCAAAATACATATATTATGTTTTCTTATTTCATTTAATTTCATCTTCTTATTTCACTTAATGCTATTTTTTTTTAATTCATTTAATTTTGTTTCACTAAATTTTACATAATTTGAAATTATCATATTTCAGTTTAATTCTTCGCATTTCATTTCACATCATTTCAAGTTAGTTCATTTCATTTGACTTCACTACACTCCATTTTTCTAGATTCATTTCCCTTGATTTAATTTTATTTCATTTCACTTCATTTCATCTCGCTCCGCTCTTCTAAGTTTATATCCTTTATTTTCGTTTCATGTTCATTTCATTTCATTTAATATAATTTCATTTCATTTCATTTCATTTAATGTCATTTCATTTCATTTCATTTCATTTCATTT